AATATTTATTTGATATTTCTATATGCCGAACATGTGGCGGAAGTGGAAATGGGGTGAGTATTAAAACAACCTAGGGAGAATTATTGGCAGATGAAGTGAACGTACGGATTGGATAAAGTTGAGAAAGTCTGAGTGGCTGTGAAGGAAGAAATCCTGACTTTAAAAGTATACATTAGTCTGTAGAAATCAACTGACATTATTTTACTCACGAAATTCAATAATAACCATTTTTAACCCATCATATTGAAATCGTTATCAATCAATTAAGTAATTACAATAAATTTCTGCAAATAGATGATAATATAATTTCCATAATTTTATTAATTGACATTTTAGTTGTATAAAATTCTACATTTTAATATTTCCCATTGTTTCCAGCACCCTAACCTCCAAATACTCCAGAAACGGATTAGCCTGCAATTGGAATCTTGAGCTGATCCTTTCGTCCAGAGTAAAAGTGAATTGGCCAGAGATAATTCTTCATTCCCCTCGGAAACAGAAAGTTGAGATAAAGACTAGCGAGAGACAAACGATGTGCAATTATTTGCCGATCGTCGTCGGATGCTAGTTAAGGTTTGATGAACTTAATTAATATTCTCCCTCCCTCTGGTACGGTAGTTACTAATTGAAGTGGAACTTTTGAATTCCAACGAAGATAAAAATGGCGAATTGTGATGGATCAGAGGGCACCACCGTAGACTGGGCAAAATCGACAATTGGGATGGGAGGGATAGAGGGCCGAACGATCGCGGCTGTTTAATTAAATTCTGCCGGTGTTCCCTGGCACCCGATGAAAAGAGAAGGACTAAATCCTGTGAATATCCCACACAGGACAGTACCCTCTCTTTCTCTCTATCATTCCTTTTTGTGTGCTTATTGGCGAATGCGAATTGCGACCCCGATTGAAAATCCGGAATCGTCCGATAAATTAATAAACACCTCACCCACCAGCTCTGCGTATTTTCATTTGCACATCGAATCAAGCCCTTCCCGTCTGTATATTCACTTTTCACTCGTATTTGATGCCTTTTGATTGGCCCAATTGTCGAACGATGATTATTGGTTATATTTACCTTCCATATTCCAGAGTTATACTTTTTACCAGAAATTCTTTTCAACTGATCGAGGGATGAAGGACAGTTGATTACTCGGCATTCGGCGGATTTTCGATAATTGGAATTTTATTGTTCTCTTTGTGACTTTTGATTTTGTTAAGGGTTCATTTGTCTTGATCATTGCGTGCGGACTTGGCGTATTGATTCGGTTGGATTAATTGAAAGTTATTTCGTTGCTAGATCCAAAAAGCGTCTGCCCAGAA